CTTCGACTCGCTCGAAACCGTTTCTAGCTCTCACTGATGACTCAGCGTCCAGACTTTTCTGGCGAACTTGCTTTGCTCGGCCTCGAGTTCCTCTCCATCGCCCCCGACATCAAAAAAACTCGGCGCGAGGGATCGTTCGTTCAGGAGCGGGGGGGGGGTTCAACCCACGTCGATGCATCGCTCGAGCGTTCTCGGTCGGACACGTGCTCGGTCAGCGCATCGCTTCGATCACCCCGATCGCCCCCTCACTACTCGATTGATGCGTGTGGTGAGCTCTTCATTCAGATAGTATTCAGCGGGAACTATCTTCGCTCACCTCATGGTCGGGTTTGCTGCGCATCACTCTAGTTTAGATCGCGCGTTGGCCGACTCGCTGGCATCTGAGCTTCGCACCGAATCACTCTGTGACTTGTTCGACCACAGTCTGCACATCCCTCATCAGCACCATCGAAAGATCACCGCCCTTCCTGTGGCCTGGAATCGAGGCACACATCACTCGATTTTCGTTGCCCGGCCCCGAACGCCACTGTCGACCTGTCACGATCACCTCCGCCACCCCCACATCGTTCACCCGCGTCGTCAACGTCGAGCGACCACTCGCATGCGATCACTGGCCCTAACATCTCGATCGACGGGTCTCATCGACGCGGCAAGCTCGGGGCTTGTCGGAACATCTGTTGCACAATTCGACTGATTTCGTCGATGTCCAGATCGACACCTTCATTGGCTCAAGCACTTGCACCCCGTCTCGACCGCGCCGCGATTCACGCAACCTCCCGCGCCCTCATCCTCCTCGTCGAGTCATCCACCCAAAACCACAGACTGTCTATGTCCCGACTCGTCGTTGCAAACATCTCGACCGTCCTTGCACACTGGCTTTCAACCTCGTCGATCACTCCGACCGATCGACTTCCCGGCAAAACTCTCGAGATGTTCCACGGCACACTCCTCATTGCTTTGCAACTTACTCGGACTCCATCCTACGTTGCGCACGTTGAAACATAAAGTCCCGAGTCGCCGCTCGATTTCCGCCTCGGACCGTGACGGTCCTTCGCATTCTCAATCCAACTCGGCGACTCGCTCGACTAGCTTTATTCGTGCGATCATCATCCCACCTCTGCAAGATGCGCGTTCGTACCCGCTTCAGCAGCCCTGGTCATGCGGTCATGGACCGCGATTAGCATCGCACGGTGCTCCATCCCTTCTCGCTTCGCTTGTCACCTCGCTTGGGACGAACTCGTTTGGCAGTCACAACACGAGCAACGTCCGAAAGGTCAGTGAGTGCCTTTAACCTGAAGGCTTTCCCTTCCTCCACACCGCGTGTGGCAAATCTGTGCCCTCTTGCTTATGTTTGACTTTTCTTTCGCTCCACCAGGTCATGGATTTCGGCCTGCGCTTAACTCGACTCTTTAAACTCCGACTCGCTCGAAACCGTTTCTAGCTCATGGATGAATGATCGTCGACCCTTTCCGATTGAGAATTGAGGCCCTTCTGGCGAAACTTGCTTTGCTCGACCTCGATCTCCTCTCGATCGGCCCTGACCTCAAAACTCAACTCGGTGCGACAGATTCGAGGAGCGTGCAAGCTCTCAACTTTGCCGCTGCTGCATCCGCCACCCAAGACTCGATATCCGCCGATCCCTCGCACCATTCGACTCGGCTCGACTTTTCCTCTCACTGCACGAAGACACGGCGACGCAACGCCTTGCTGTCATGGTGAAACGTCACTTGCCCGGTACATGCGGCTCGACCCTACTCGACCCGGCACTTGGCGTGTCACCTGGAGCCGGCTAAGGCAAGCATGACACCATTTAGCAACTGCAACACCCTCACCCTCCCCAATTGGAACGACTCGATAAGAAGCTCCAAGATACCCACAGTTGCGTCCGGGCTATGTCGATTGCTCACTTGAGCCATCGCGACCGGAACTGCTCGACCTCCGATGACTCGCTCAGACCGCCCCCAGTGAGCTGTTTCGATCTTAGCTCTCACTTGCGACTCGCACTCCTTGCTGATGAGACGAAGATATGCTGTGTCACCGCGTACTGCAGATCGTTGATCACGGAAGACCTGCAAGGGGAGCGCTCAGTCGAATGGAGCTTCCCTCGCACGCCCTACATTCGAGTTGCAAATCACCCTTCCTCGATACATCCCATGACGAGTCTCAAGCACGATTGCGTCGAGATGGGAGATCCGCATTGCGCCTCAAGCAGTATCACCCCATGTCGGCTGCCCCGCGAATCACTCACCTGCCCGCCCTCGTGATCCAGCTCGTCGAGTCATCCGTCCGAAATCACAGAGCGTCTACGTTTCACCCATTGCACCTCAACATCCCACATTCCCGCTCGTCTCCTTGCCGTTCAAGTTGACCGGACTTGGACACGGGGTTTTCCACCTCGTCGATCGCACCGACCAATCGACTTTCCGGCAAAGCCCTCGAGATTTGCCACAGCATGCCACAGCATGCCACCTCGTTCCTCCACCTCTTCCTCGAAGACCATCCTCCGTTGTGCACGGTGAGCCATACAGTCAGGACTGGGGCTTCTCCGGACCACTCGGCGCTCGAATCAGGCTTCGCGCCGTGACGATCCTTCGCACTCTCAATCGACCTCGGCAATTCGCTAGGCCAGCTGGATATGTGCGATCGCCATCCCACCTCTGCGACATGCACGTTCGTACAGACTCTGGTGATTCGGTCGTGGACAGCGCTCAGCGACGCACAGTTCTCCATCCTCTCTCGCCTCGCCTGTTCATGCACTCATCTCGCATGTGTCGACGAACTCGTTTGGGAGTCACTAAGCGCGCAAACGTCCGAAAGGTCAGTGCATGCCCTCAACCTGAAGTCCTCTCCCTCCACATCTCGTGTTGCAAGTGTGTGCACTATCGCTCATGTTTGACGATTGAATTGCTCCACCAGGCCTTAGTTTCCCAACTGCGCTCAACTCGACTCTTTGGACTCCGAACTGCTCGCAACTGTTTTCAGTCCGTCTCCCGGAAGAATGGTCGTCGCCTCTCCACTTGAGGATCCAGACTTTTTCGGCAGGACTTGCTCTGCTCGACGCTGATCTCCTCTCCATCGGCCCCGACCTCAAAACTCAGCTTGGTGCGACAGATCGCACGTCGACGAGTATGCAGGCTCTCATCTTTGCCGCTGCTGTCTCCGCCACCCAAGACTCGATATTTGCCGATGTCCTGTGCGAGGAGGCTTCTCCAACCATCCGAACTCTTGTGGGTGACCTAGCGCCCGGCCGGCTCGCCTCGAAATTGAGAACGACGGACCACCTCGACTCTTTGCCCAACTGCTCGAGCGACGTTTCTTCCTTCCCTGCATTTTCGATGTGCAAATATCTCCGTATGTGCGCCTTGATGCAATACCATGTGGTCTTTGAGCTCATATGTGCGTGTCTGAGAACCGTCGGATCTTCCTGCCGGATTTTCCTGCGGCCTCCGATGTGGTCCTTCCGGGAAGGACCCAAATGGAATGTTCTTGTATCTAATCCAGCACCAGAACTGGACATCTGAGTATATTGCAGTGATCTCTGCGAAGTCACTGGATCGATTGTCCTCCTCGCTTACGCCGACCGAGCTGATGGCATCCCGCCGTGGTCCATTCGGAGTTGGCTTCCACCCTGTGATTGCATCCCTAGCCATCTTATATAGGCTCTTTCCGTCTGTAGCAACTGAATCGTGTGTGTACGGGAGCTGCTTGCGGGCGTATGCCGTGATTCGACACCGAAACGTTCCTCGGTTTTCACGCAAAGTCGAACCTGTGTGACCCGTATGCCTCACCGGCGATCACGACTGAAAGTCTGCTCTGGGACCGCAAAGTACCCCATGGAATCATCCGTCAAGGTTGAAAAATCAAATTCAGAAGGTCCTTGCTTCGAGCGTCGGCGGATCATTATCCGATCGACCAGCGAAAAGTAAAGGAGCCGAGTTTGCGCGATCGAAAGGACCTCCGAGTCCTCACGCGACTTTTCAAGTCCTGATCAGAAGTCGAAATTGACTTCAACGCAGTGGTCATCTCGTGATAGACCTTTCGATCGTAGTGATGCAAATTCAATTATGGCATGCTTCAAGACATTTGGCCTGCAGCAGTGACCCGTTCGAAAGGACCAGATCGAACTAGATCATGTGCTGCGGCATAACTTTCGCTCATTGATCTTGGAGAACGCTCCCGATGAAAATACGGCATCAACACCGCAATCCAGCGCTGAACACTTATCGACAAGTTTTGTTTGGAGATTAGAGTGTTTTGAGATTGAGCAGGATGGAGCAGCGAGAATGAGTCGATCCTTAGTTGGTTCTCGGGTCGGCGACGATCGACTCGGAGCCTTTTCACTGACGATGCTAAGTGGATCGTTCTCTGCGTACGACCACATATCCCTGCATTATTCCAGGCGAGAAAGTTTACACCGAAAGGAAATCGTCAGATCGAACGATGCCCGTCCGAAGGTTCGCACCCATCATCGACCTTTGATCCGACTATCGACCGACTGAATGACGGAACAGACCAACCTCTCGAGCTCGATCTCGCCCCCAACCGTGCTCATCCCCTTGCCACCACGTGCGAAGTAGGAATCTGCTCGGACCTCGCAATGACGGCCTGACTATATAGTAGACACTAATCAAATACCGAATGCCAAATCCTCCCGCCAGCTGCCCGCCAGCTCTCCGCGCACTTGAGGCTGACCCTGGCAAAGATGCCCTTGATATTTTGAGGCGCGCAACTCTGTGGGCTACCCCTGAGCCCAGAGCGCTGAACCGAGATGGGATCCGAAACGAGATTCCCATTCGGAAATCGTCGGAGATCGTCGGGCTGACGGCGCCGCGTGGTGCGGTAGACTTAGTTTGTGTGCAGGTCAGATCGAAGCGGTCTGTTCTTGCCGGCTCTGTAGAAGAAGTGTCATGCTCGCCCACTCGTTTTTAAATACTACATGAACCGCTCAGCATCACGGAGAAACTCGACAAAAATCGTACTCGGGCTGTAGCTCGATTTTGATGGTCCAGCAAATGCAGAAATGTTCGTACATGACGTCTGATCGGGACGACGATACTACAGGCGGCTTGGATAGACTCAACAGTGTACTGGTACATTCACCACATGGCGGCAATACAGTCAAAAACTGCGGTTTTAGATACATCACTTTGAAATCTCGCGCGCTTGATCAGCTGATTAATTGGCTCGACTTCATTCGCGCGCGCCAACGCTCCTTTCCCTCTCCCCACTCACTCGCACCACTCGCACCACTTGACACGACTCGGACTCGGCACGGATCGCACCACGCCACAGCTCGACGTCACATGCTTTCACATCGCTCGCATGCGCCATTCAATCAGCAAGATGCAACTCGATTTCTCTCAACTACAGCTCGACGTGTCACCTCAACCCGACTGAGGTGGGCACGGTGCGACGTCGCACAAAACGGTTAACAGCAAGTCCAACGCTGCCATCTTCAACACGATACAACTAAAACTGCGACCTAAGAGGGCGCGGTCACTTTCAGCAGCGTGCTGGCTTACGTCGATGCATCGCTCGAGCGTACTCGGTCGGACACGTGCTCGGTCAGCGCATCGCCTCGATCACCCCGGTCGCCCTCTCGCCACTTGACCGATGAGTGTGGGTGAGCTCTTCATTCAGATAGTACCAAGCTCTCACTTCATTCGCTCACCTCGTGATCGTCTTTGCTGCTCATCACTCTAGTTCAGATCGCGCGTTGGCCGACCCGCTGGCAACCGAGCTTCGCACCGAACCGCTCTGTGACCTGTACAATCATGCTCGCGACGCCAGCGCAAGTTCCTCGTCAGCACCATCGAGGAGATAATTACTTTCCTCAGTTCTCGAATCGATGCACATGTCACTCGGCCCACATCGCCCCACCCCCAAACACCACTGTCGACCAGTGACAATTTGCTCCGCCACCCCCACATCGTTCACTCGCGTCATCAACGTTAAGCAATCACACGAATGCAATCCCTCTCATCTCTTTCATGATCGAATCGAAGAGCTCATCGACACGGCTAGCTCGGGGTTGGTTGGAACATCTGTTGCACGACTCGACTGATTTCGTGAATGTCGAGATCGGAGACGTTTATCGGCACAAGCACTTTCACCCCGTCTCGACTGCGCCGCAAATCACTCAACCTCCCGCGATCGTTATCCAGCTCGTCGAGTCATCCGTCCAAAGCCACTACGTCTCGCTATAATCATCCCCCGAACTCGTTTGGCAGTCACAAAGCCAACCAACGTCCGAAAGGTCCGAGAGTGCCTTTAACCCGAGGGCTTTCGGGGGGTTAGGGTTAGGGTTAG